CGAGCGGGGGGAAGCTACAGTTGCTTGCGAAAAGATGCTACAATGGGCATATGACGTCTTGGCGGAGCGTTTGAATAGTAGCGATGTGCGGCCAGCTAGTTATCTTGTTGATTACCTTGTCCCAGAACTTGCCACAAGAGTAGACGATGACACATCAGACCCATCTTTTTGCGCATTGCCAAATATGGATGGTTACCGCGAGTGGATCCACGGACCAGGCGCGACGTTGCCAGCTACAGCCGCTGACGCGGGCGAAGTGCGTTGGTTGCCTCCGATGGCACTGGTCGACCTGTACCATCTGTTGTCGTCGCAAGACTTTGGCCTGCGCTCGCTTCCTAGCTACGTATCATTCACCCGGGTGTACAACGAGCGCTGGCATCAGTGCCTTCGCATTCGGCCAAAGATCCTTCAGTCCAAATGCGACACGTGCGAACGCCTCAAGGCCTTAAGGAAAGCAGCTACATCACCTGAGGCGGCAGAGGCGGTGCGAACAGAACACCTCGCCCACGTGAAGGAGACTTTCCTGGACCGGTCCGTCGACGAGCGCATCCAGAGCGCAGCTCGGGAGGCCACGTCGACTCCTGGTGGCGTGGCTCGCTCGCGATCTATCTTGAATTTAGACATCGACGCCATGGAGGCAATGAAGTTCAAGTGCCCGAGAAACATCTCGGCCGCCAAGACGATGGCGGCGTTGTGGAGGCCACAACAACATATGGTCGGCAGCATCGTCGACGGCATTGCAGACTACTACTGGCTGGTGCCACCCGACATTGTGAAAAATGCAAACCTGTCGGCCACGATCGTGGCTGATCTTCTGCAACACGCCGCAGGTGTTCTCGAGTCTCGCAGAGTTCCGATGCCGACGCATTTGCGCGTCCACTCGGACAATGCCGGAGGTGAAATCAAGAACCAAACGTTCATGAAGTTCCTGGCGTTCCTGTCGCACAAGGAGCACTTCGATTGCACGGAGATGACGCAGTTTCAACCTGGACATAGTCACGGCCGCATTGATCAAAATTTCAGCGTCGTGGGGACGGCGCTCAATAAGAGCCAGGCGTTGGAGACACCAAGTGATTTCAAGGCTCGCATAGAAACCACAGGTGGAGATGGAAAGCGACCCCTACGTGTTTCTGAGTTGGGCGCAGTGTACGATTGGAAATCGTTTTTCGATCCCCTTCGCGTCGCCCCGCACAACCACGTGCAGACACTTGCCATGACGTTGCAGAACTCGGAGGCGTGCCACGTGTTCAGATTTTTCCGCCGCGACCGCATGCGCAGTCTCCCCGGCGAGCTGAGCTCGGTCACAACAGAGCCAAACTCTGTCTTCCCGGAGCCGCCTGCCGAGGACGACATCATCTTTGTCACTAAGCATTACGTCGGTTCCCAGACATATGCTCAAGTACCAGAAGTATTTTGCCCTGGATCCCGCATGCGAGCTCTTGACCCAGGAGGCCCAGGTGCTGCATCGGGGCGCGTGCAGTTTTCGGACCGCCAGGTCAAAGAGTTCAGGAAAACGGCTACGACGTTGGCTCAGGCACCGTGGAACATGCATCGCGCGAATGAGTGGCTCACTCACCTGGTAGAGAATAACATTGCGGGCTACGCTGAGGGTTGGGTGCCGCCCGTGATTGAGCATCTCGTGACGACGGCCACCAAGGAGCCCTTCGTCCCCCGCCATCCAGCGAGGGAGGCCCCTGCAGAGGCAGTACCTGTTCGGATGGAAGACGATGGCTCAAAGAGAAAGAAGATCCGCATTGCAGGTAAGAGCACCCCGGCCAGGGCATCATCCTCCCAGCGGGATCGCAACGTGGCGTCTCCATCGATGGCGCAAGGACTCTCCGGCGCCCCGCTGGAGCAGGTCAGCGAGGCTGGGGCCCCACCGAACACGATGGCCCCACCAGCGGCGCCGCAAGGGCTTCTCCCACCAAACGTGCTTCGCAGACCATCGGCGGCAGAACAAGCGCCTCGACTGATTTCAGAGAGAAGGAAACGAAATCTCCTCGCCATACCTGATGAACCGAGCATCGGTTGTTCTAAGTGCCGCCAAGCTGTTGGGGGCTGCAAAGAATGCCGCACTCGTAGGGATGATTGGCGTTTCGTGCATGGCATGTGATGCAGACATGTATGTGTCTGGCCTGGCAAGTGGGCTATGGATTGATGGCTCGCTCAACGGTTCTTCGCCACTCAACAAGGTGGGCATCAGCTCGCTAACAAAAAGCAATCTCCAGCATCATCTTCAGTCATCTATCATTTTGCCACCCTCATTACCCCAGGCATCTGAGCATTACCATCTTCATACAATCCCCTACATCCTGGCATGGCAATGCGCACCCTTATTCTCACAAAATGTTGCGCGCGGCAAAGCGCCTACAAAATCAGGACGAGACCCAACAATAACAAAATGATTTGGGTACGTGGCTGAAGTGGGAGCGCAGGTGAGCCGCGTAGGTCGCGCCAAGGAGTGCCGACATGGATACCACCCACCTTTTGTATGAAGTGCGACCCCGGCCCGAGACCCTGGAAGGTATTGAGCGTGCCCTAGACAACGGCCTTCGGGGGAGGAGGGGCCCACAATTTGCGGAGCGTTCCAAAGGAACGGCTTCAATGGGGGGAGAGAGTTAGCTATCTAGGGGGGCCGTCGCCAAATACATGATAACAAACATTCATGCAACTATCTGGAGATCTTCCTGGGGGGGGGGGGCAAGACAGCCAGAGAAAGGAGCATGTTGAGAGCGGCCATCATGTCCCAAATAACTTCCGACTCCAGAGCTTCCAACATCTTGATCCCTACCCCCAGCCCCTTACCTCCATCCCCGTACCTCCATCCCCTTACCTCCACCCCCATACCTCATTGCGTTTTAAGGTGAGTGTGTAAGACATCGAACAAGTGGGTCTGCACAGCGGTTCCGTCACTGTTTCCACAGCGTTGTCGTCAAGGATGCGGCGTCAGGCCAGCCCCGAACCAAGTGCGCCACATTTGATTTCTGACTCTGAAGAATGTAGCGATGTGCAGCATGTGCTCAGTGACGCGCTACCTCCCAGGAGGGTTACTTGGGCAGAGGCCGTGTGTGATGAGTTGCAGCAGGCAGGGAAGCTGGAAAATCTGCATTGGACAATCACGTACGGAGATGACTGCAGCGGGGCCAGGGCCCCGATGGAAGCATTGCAGCAACTGCGGTCCACAATTCGCGCCCGGGGTGGTGGTACATTGGAGATAATTGACAAATTCGCCAGTGAGTGCCCAGGGAAAGAGGGGGACGGACCTCGCCAATTCATAGAGTCCCGCTACAGGCCAGAGATTATCTTCGAGACTGCGCACCGGGGAAGCGCCACGTGGGCAGAGAATTGGCGCTCCAAACAAATTGTGCGAATTCCTGGCGCGTTAGATGTGTACGTGGCCGGGTGGGTCTGCAGGGACGTGTCCACAATGAATCACCACCGCAATAAACCATTGCTTCCTGGCACGGACCCACGCGTAAGAGATGGCCGCGCTGGTGAAAGCAGTCAGACTCTGGAGTCTAGCATCGAATATATCAGGCTGCATCGGCCACTTATCGCGGTGCTAGAAAACGTTGTGAACAAACGCAGTATTGAAGTCGTCCAGATGGCATTCAAGAGGATTGGCGGCTACGCAGTCATCGTGTGCTTACTGGACAGCCGAACAATGGGCGTGTGCATGTCAAGGAGGAGGTTGTATGCAGTCGCTGTGAACACAAGGAGGCTGCAACTTGTTACGCCTATCGATCAATGGCCTCAGGAGATCATCAGAATTGCGCAGCGGATCACACCCATCCCTTTGGAAGCATCGCTGATGCCATCCACCACAAACGTTGTGCCATTGACTTGCCGCGAGAAGATGAATCCTCAATGGGCTGGCGTACATGCAGCCATCCGCAGTGCCTTGTCACTTCCAACCAGGGTTGAGTTGCTCAAGAAAACTGTGAGTCATTCTCCGACCGCATCATCACTGACACGTCGAATGCAAGATGTACTTGGTATGCATTGGGAGGTCGCAGTGCGCAATGGTATTTCTCCGAATGACCACCATTTCGTGTGGGACCTGACCAACTCGGTGAAGTTCTTCCCTTGCGCCAAAGACCGCCGGTCAGCAGGGATTGTACCATGTGTTTTGCGCGGGCACGTGCTCTGGGATACAAAGATGGGGCGGCAGCTGACAGGCGCAGAGCTGATGCGGGTACACGGCTTCTGGATGGAGACGGACACGGAGCTGCCGGAGGCCACGTTGAAGAGCCTTGCTGGCGACACCATGTCGGTGGCCCCAGTTGGCTGCATTTTGGCAGTCGCCTTAGCCAATACTGTGGCTGGCCGAAGCGGCCAGACGCCCGACGCGGGATCAGTGTGGATAGGGCCCTCGGCGCGACGAGGTTTGGACACCAGCCTGGATAATCTCATGAAGATGGCCACTGCGGCGACGAATGGTAAGCAGGCCGGCGAGAACCGCGAGAAACGGAAGCGCCACGTGAGATCAAGCCAGAGCACAAAGGCCAGTTGCTAGACACAGCAAAAAAGGCGCGCCCATTTCTCTCATCAGCCCAGCGGTTTCATATCTATCCGGTGGGCATGGCTCGCTGATCGATCCATCGGGTGGGCATAGCTCGCCGTAGTAGCGTAGAAGCAAAACCCCAGTCTAGAATATCGACTTCACGCTGTCTGCGTAGTTGTATGGGTTCAAGCAAGCGCTTACATATTTCAAGATATTTCCGCGCGAGTGTTCTTACATGGCGAGTCCTGGGACACCCGTGGAAGCGCTTGTGGAAGCGATCCAGACGCGCATGCTGGAATCACAGTTGGTCCTTCCTTTACAAGAAGAGCGAGATAGAACCCGATCTCCTGCACGTCGCCCACAACCACGACCTGTCCAAGAAGCAAGGGCTGCCATCAGGAACCAAGTAAGTTTTTATCTTGGCTTGATTCAGGGGTTTAGGGTTTAGTTGATCATATCGCTAACCGCTGGCGCACCTGGCGGTGATCCGCCAAAGGCTGTGGCGTTGAAGGTGGAATCGACTGAGCTTGAGAAGCAAGAGTTTGAGCTGTTCAAGAATCGTGTCCGCCACGATGTCAGCGTGGCCAGCGCCTACATCGGCAAAACTCGCGATCGCGAGACGGCCATGTACTACAAGACAGTGCAGCACCGTGTCTGGCGAGCCCAGGAGGCCGAGTCTGCGGCGCAGTCGTTGTTTGACCCCTCTCACGTGAATTGCAAGATCACCCTTGTCACGTCGGCAGACCAAAAAGCTGTGACAAAGGCGGTTGGGCGAGTGAAAGAGCAATTAGCCAAGAACGCCCTGACGTCGAACACCTCTATCAACACGTTTGTGCACATCAATTGGACGGCGATGTCGCTATTCAATGCGAAGACGACCAAGGCACAGCACTTTTTGTTGGGTGAGTTCGTTCGCTCCGACGGCCCGGCAATCGGGATGGTGCTTCTCCCAACATTCACCTACAAGAAGGGCTTCCTTTACAAGGCGGAAGCAGAAGCGCAATCAAGCATCGGCCAGCACGGCCTCTTCATTGACAGATCTATATGCTTGCACTTTACTGAGAAACCAGAGGAGCGTTCAGAACGGCCACTCATGATCAAGGGGACCTTGGTATTTGCTGACGACGACTCCAACCGCATCAAAGCGTGGAAAGGCATTCCAGCATTCAAGGATCCAGTCATTGCATGCGGCGCGCAGCTCCGCACCAAGGATATGGTCACTGTGGAAGATACCGCGATGGAGGCGTTGCCTGCGACAATCGAGACGGACACGCACGCCAGCCAAGGAGAGAAACATCACCAGCTTGGCGTGCCAGCTTACCACCGCGTGCTCAACGCAATGCTTTCAGGTCTCCCAGGTGATCAACGGGGGGCGACGATGGTGATCGACTTGTCCTTGCACACTGCTGACATGCTGAAGGCGTTCATCACGTTCAGCGAGACTTTCGGGCAGCAAGTGGCATACGTCGGCATGTGCGCAGACGAGATCTCCGTCGACTTCTGCAAGGCTGAGGGTACTCATTACACCAAGCAACGCATCTTAGCAGGCGACATGAAGGTACCCCACTTCAATGTTCCGCCAGCTGAGGTGCCGTCTGATAGCCAGTCGCCAGAGGTTGCCAAGCCGCAGCTCGTTGCCATGCGCTGGACCGGCGACCGCCCGACGATTGCCGAAGTCGACTTGCAGAAATGGAGCGGATACGAGGTCTTTGCAGAGCAGTTTTCAGACATGGTGGCGACGCTTGAGTTTGAAACTGGGTTCGACCTCGTAAAGGGCAAGGACAAGGACAAGGGGGAGACAGACAAGGGTGACAAGGCAGCTTCGCCTGGCAAGACAGGTGCCGACCCAGCGGAGCGCCCAGCAAAGGTCGCTCGGACGACAGAGCCTGATACGTTCATCGACGAATCGACCATCGCTACTCAGATCACCCACGACGTCCCGCTCACTTCCATCAATGGGAAGACGGGGAAGCTCTATCTACGCGTGTGCGTGAACAACGAGATGTACATCGTCAACAAGGGCACAGAGGCAGCAAAGGTGTCGCAAGGCGCCATGCTGGCTGGTTTCTCAAAAGGGAAGTGGACGAATGACATGCTTGAGGACAAGCCCGAGAAGTACATCAAGTTCGAGTTGGCCGATTGCGACAGTCTTGTCGTCTTCAACGCTCGGATGTGTCGCGTCGGGGCGCTTGTGAATGAGAAGCGTTTGACAGAAAGTGCAGATGAGACGAGAGTGTGCTACCACAGCCTCGTGGAGAGCCCGACGGACGACGACCACACAGCCTTCAAGCTCAACGTCTCGCAGACAATATACTATCGCTTGGCCGACGTGGCCGTCAAGGAGGAGGACAACGCTAAAGCTCCTTCTCAGAACAACGTGGGCGGGACCATGCCGGCAACAGCGTGGGACACCAAGAACACAGGCATATGTTGGGTCATGCAGTGGCGCAAGAGGAAGGGCTTGCAACCCGCTCGCCCGCAGGTGTGCTGGAAGGCAAGCGACATCGACATCTTGCCTGGCAAGGCGTTGAAGCTCATCCAGTGAGCTGGGCAAGCGGGCAGGGCGCCCCAGATTTTGATGGAGCGCGAGTGGCTACTCGCGCTAGCTCTCGATGAACAGGTGGGCTGAGCTAGCTCACCGCACGGCGTCTTTGATATTTTGGACAGGTGGGCACAGCTCGCCCGTTAGCGCGAATGCAATCATACCTCCTCCTCCCCCTTCCTTCCAGCCATCCTTATCATAGTGTTTCGCCTCCCTTGAAATCCACGAGGAGATCCAATATGCGGGGCCAAGTTCTCATTTCTCAAAATGTTTCAACCCTCATTTCTGTGCCACCCCGTTGCCCTCCTCTGAGCCTTCAGCATCATCACCATATTGATATCTATATTGATATCATCTAGGTGGGTTATCAGCTCGCCCCATCGTCTGAATTAGCATCATCATGGTTGCCGAGTTGGGCGCTCACCCAGGTCTCCTCCGCGGGTTGGCGTCGCTAGCAAGTCTCTGCCAAGATATCCTCCCGGTCCTCGTGAGCCTTCCTTGGGCTTCCTTCCCGTGAAACCGAAATCTGGTTTAGTTCAATTATTGCAGGTGGGTCCTCATTGACAGCTCGTGGGCCCAATGGACTCCAAGAAGGCATTCCAAAGTCCGGAATGTTTGAACCGATTTTTCTGGACTTCGGCGCGCCCTCCAGAAGAACCCATCGAGGCCTTCTTGGAGCCCTCTTGGGACCTGGGCTCATGGCCCCGCGAAGGCAAGGGGCCCATTGGGCCACGGGGCTCGCCAAGTGACACCATCAGTGTGAAGTCAGCGCACCTTGATCGCAAATTGATGGCCATTTTCTCAGGGCTCCAAGGGGCGGCGGGCGATCCAGCGCCCGAGCGGCGGCTGCGGAACGCAGCAATGGGAATGGTGGAGGAAGTGGGCCAATGCGATGAGTTCTGGCTCCATGGCATCAAGGAGCCCTCTGGGCTCTACCTTATCACTGGCCAGCAGCACCACGGCAAGCCGATGTGGCAGCGTAAGGATGGCGGGTACCAGATCATGTTTTGGGATGATCGCGACGGCCCGTTCACCGGCTGGTGGGTTCTGAAGTCCGACGATTACGACTGGGCGTTCGCGCGCCACGAGAACGTCGCAGCTGCCACGCCGCCAACCTACGGCTGGTTCGCGCCATTTCATGACACCACCAGCATCAACGACAACGTGTACCTTGTCCCGGCGTCGCAGAAGGTGAAGCAGCAGGCGAAGCCAGAAGGTGAAGCAGCAGGCGACGCTGAACTTGGCAAGGTTGCCAAGGCTTGGAAGAACGTCGAAGAGTTACGTCAGGCTGCTCTGGGGAAGCGCGAGCTGGACGGACACGAAGGCGAAGTGGCAGCAGCAGATGACAAGGCTGCCGAGGCGTCAGGCTCAGGCTCAGGCGACATGGCCTGGCTGGTGCAGGAGGTGATGCACGCCAACGAGCGCATGGACGCGTTCGATGGGCGCATCGAGGCGCTGCAGAGGGACATCGAGGATATCAAGGAGGCCTTGGGACCAGAGTTCATCAAGCGCCAGAGGCTGCAGCAGCATCAGAACGAGAAGAAGAAGCAGCTGACGCCGCCGCCGCTCTACATGGTGCGCTATACGATGCGCTCGGACGGCCGCACCAAGACAAGCAGGGCCCTGGTGCACCCCTGACCGTCGCGCCACGGCGAACTGGAGGCCAGGTGGCCACCAGAAAAGTATCAGCGTGATCATCGTCAGCATCATCATCGCTAAGTGGGCATCCTGCTCGCTAGCATCGTCATCGTCAGCATATCCTCCTCCTCCTCCTCCTCGTCCTCCTCCTTCTCAACCTCCTCCTCCTCCTCCTCCTCCTGCTCCTCCTCCTCAGGCGCAAAACCACTAGGGGGCACAGGCGTGAAACCACTAGGGGGGCAGGCGTGAAACCACTAGGGGGGACAGGCGTGGAACCACTAGAACCTGGAGGAGGACGAACTCCCGCAGACGCCGCAGAGCGCATGGGGCCCACGCCGGGCCGCGGGACGCGAAATCTGGCGGGGCAAACTCTTTGGGAAACCCCGGGAAGCAAAATCTGGCGGGGCAAATCCTGTAGGAAGGTCAGCCCAGTAGACACCCCACGGGATCACGGCGAGGAAGAGGGGGGAAGCAAATCTGGCGGGGCAAACTCTCTAGGAAACCTCGGGAAGCAAAATCTGGCGGGGCAAATTCTGTAGGTAGGTCAGCCCAGTAGAAGACCTCTCGAGGACCCTCCCACCCCCTCTTGGGCCCCTCTTGGAGCTCCAAAAAGGCCGCCAGAGAGCTCCAAGACGGCTCCAAACAGGCTCCAAGAGGGGCGCGCGAGGTCTCATCGAACCGCCGTGTTCGATGAGACCTGGCGCGCTCCTCTTGGAGCCCTCTTGGGGCCTTCGTGGCCCCCTCCCAAGACCTCTCGAGGGCCCTCCCACCCGATGCTGGCCCCCTCTTGGACCCCTCTTGGAGCTCCAAAAAGGCCGCCAGAGAGCTCCAAGACGGCTCCAAACAGGCTCCAAGAGGGGCGCGCGAGGTCTCATCGAACCGCCGTGTTCGATGAGACCTGGCGCGCTCCTCTTGGAGCCCTCTTGGGGCCCTCGTGGCCCCCTCCCAAGAATTCTCGAGGGCCCTCCCACCCGATGCTGGCCCCCTCTTGGACCCCTCTTGGGGCTCCAAAAAAGCCACAGGGGGGAAGAGGAGGAGGAGGAGGAGGAGGAGGAGGAGAAGGAGGAGGAGGAGGAGGAGGAGGAGGAGGGGAGGAGGGGGAGGAGCGGGGCGGGAGGGGGGGCGCGCTTACTGCCTGCTCCTAGCAGCAAGCTATGCTGTGCTATGGTATGCGTCGTTTGCCGTTACTACTAATGCTGCTTTCCTGAGGGCTCCAACTCCTAGGTAGGGTCGCGCTAGGATAACTTTAGGGTTGGTGCTGATACGCAAAGCGTCAATAATGAAAATAAACCATCGCACCCGTGTTGATGATAGTTTGAATGGAGCGAGCTGACAGCCCACCAAAGTGACCCACCTAGATAACAGCGAGCTGAACGCCCACCAATGTAGCAATGATGCGCCTAGATCAACGCGCTAGTGTAAAAACCGAATGGGTCGAAACAAAAACCGATTGTCGTGAAACTTCCTTCCAGGCGCTCCCCGGCGCTCCCCGGCGCTCCCCGGCGCTCCCAAGCGCTCCCAAGCGCTTCCCGGCGCTCCCAGGCGCTCCCCGGCGCTCCCAGGCGCTCCCCGGCGCTCCCAAGCGCTCCCCGGCGTTCTCCAGCGCTCCCAAGCGCTCCCAAGCGTTCCCAAGCGCCCCCGGCGCGCTCCCAGGCGCTCCCAGGCGCTCCCAGGCGCTCCCAGGCGCTCCCAGGCGCTCCCAGACGCTCCCAGGCGCTCCCAACAGCGCCCAGAAGCGCGCAGAGCGGCCCACACGTGTTTTTACGTGTCGGAGAAGTAAAAACTCCACCAGAGGACGAAAGGTCTCCGGGTTTAGGGTGTTGTACTCTTCGAGGATCAGGAAAAGTTTATCTTTGAATCGCGACTCCCAAGGGGCAGCCTACGGCTGCATGGGCGACCCGGTCTGGCAACCCGCTGAAGTATCTCAGAGATGCCCTGTCTCTCGTAGACGGCGACGGTGATGCGCGGTGGGGTGGGCAGAAGCACAACGAGGTGCTTGGGAATTTAGGGTTTAAGGTTTAGGGCTTCTCTTAGCGCAGCGGCCGACAATCCAGGCAACGCTGCCCCCCCTTCGGCAAGCTTGATTGGGGGGGCGTTTAGCCGACCCGATCAAGCTTGGCGAAGGGCGCCAGAGCTGCAACTACTTCCCACCCCCGGCCGCAGGGCCGGCGACCTCCCAAACTACAGCCTTTTAGGGTTTAGGGCCGTTGGCTTCTAAATTCCCAATGCGCTCCAAGCGCTCCCAGGCGCTCCCAGGCGCTCCCAGGCGCTCCCAGGTGCTCCCGGCGCTGCCAGGCGCTGCCAGGCGCTGCCAGGCGCCCCCAGGCGCCCCCAAGCGCTCCCAGGCGTTCCCCGGCGAAGTCAGGCGCTTCCAAGCGCTCCCAAGCGCTCCCAAGCGCTTCCAGGCGCTTCCAGCTCTCTCCCAGGCGCTCCCAGGCGCCCCCAAGCGCTCCCAGGCGCTCCCAGACGCTCCCACGCGCTCCCGGCACGCTCCCAGGCGCTCCCAGGCGCTCCCACATGCGCCCAGAAGCGCTCGGAGCGCTCCACACGTGTTTTTACGTGTCGGAGAAGCATCGGGGGGAATTGCAAGTCAAAAGTCTTTGGGTTTAGGGTGTTAAATTCTTCGAGTATCAAGGGGAAGTTTATCTTTAAATCGCAACTCCCAAGGGGCAGCCTACGGCTGCATGGGCGACCCAGTCTGGCAACCAGCTGACGCTTCTCAGAGATGCCCTGTCTCTCGTAGACGGCGACGGGGATGCGCGGTGGGTGGGCAGAAGCACAACGAGGTGCTTGGGAATTTAGGGCCTGCATGGGCGCATGCGCGCGCTGGCTGCGATCCCCCCACATCAAGGTTGTTGGGGGGGATCGCTGCCCAAGCCGCGCGCGCTATGAAATTGCACCCCCGCCCCAGACCACCCACAGTAAAGCCTTTTAGGGTTTAGGGTTTCTCCCCCCAACCCCCCTATCAAGGGGGGCTTTCGTGTTGGCGCGCGCAGGCGATCGCCGACGCGGCCGTGGCATTGCGCATCCACGTGAGCACGCGCGCAGGGCTGCCCCTGGCGCAGCATGTCCGTGCGTTGCAGCCTTTGCCTTCGGCACTGGGTTGTGACACTGGGGTGCGAACGCTGGGAAGCGCGCGTGCGGTCGCGGCCGTGGCAATGCGCGCCCATGCGGGCACGCGCGCAGGGTGCATGGCGCTGGCGCGTCAGCTCGCCTCGTCGATGAGGCAGCTGTTGCGCCTTCGGCAGGGGGCTTCGCCGTTGGGCTGCCGCTGGCGCAGCAGATCCACAGGGGTCCGCATTTGCCTTCGGCGTTGGAAAGCAGCACTGCGAGGGCGCTGGCGCGGCAATCCCATGGGCCCCCGT